ATTTTTGATTGGAAATTTTTTCCCAAAATTCGTCGTCGTGGCGCAGTAAGTTGCGGGATTAGGTGTCCTGCACTGTAGAACTTTAGTGGTAAAACATCAAGATCAATTGCACTTGCTGCACTGAGAAATACACTGGCCTACAATAATTTACTGGATTTTGTCACATGATTCTGCATGCCAATTTCACAATCACAGATTTCTCCTTATTTTACATATAAATAAAGAAAATAACAAAACAAATTAATTTTATTACTTTTCTAGTTTAAAATGCGTAGAAAGGAGCTGCCAGTTGCTCAACATGAGCGAATTATTGGTGCATATATTAGTGGCATTAAACAAAAAGTTATTCTGCTCAGCTTGATATTCCTACCAGTACAATAAATGATACTATCAAACAGTATAAAGAAACAGGTTTTGCAACACCTGAAAAATGTCCCAGTTGTCCAAAACTGCTCACTCAATGTGATACACACATTGTACAATGTATCGTCCATGATAACTGGTTTCCCCTCTTGGTGATATAACAAATAAATTTAATTCTCATCTTTGCATTATAATACAGTTAGAAAATATCTTCATGATGAGGGTCTAGGTAATTATGCCACAAAAAAAAACCTCTTTTAACAGAGAAACAGTGAAAAGATCAACTAAGATGGAGCAAAGAAAAACAAAACTGGGAAGAAGAATGGAAAAATGTGATATGGTTGGATGAGTCAAGGTTTGCTCTTTTTGAATCAGATGGCTGAGTAAGAGTATGGAGAAAACCAGGGGAAGCTTATAAAGAGGATTGTATTCAACCTACAGTTAAATTTGGTGGAGGAACTGTGATGTTTTGGGAGTGTTTTGGTTGGCATGGTGTCAGACCTTTGATTGTGGTGGAGGGAAACATGGATTCAAATGATTATATTAACATCCTTGCTGGACACTTTATACCATGGGTTAATAATTACCCTAATTCTATTTTTCAGCAAGACAAAGCTCCATGTCATACATCAAATTGTAGTGTTTGATGGATGAAAACACATGACATTCCGATTTTAGATTTGGTGGCGCAAAGTCCAGATCTTAACCCACTTGAGAATTTGTGTAACTATCGGATCACCAAGTATGTAAAAGAAAACCTCTGCCTAAATCAAAACAGGAATTAATAAATGTAATACAAGAGAAATGGGGAAAATCAGCATAGAAACGTTACATCATTTAATTTTAAGCTTACCAGATTGTGTCAAAGCAGTAATTAAGGCTAAAGGTGGACATACTAAATATTAGCCTGTTCATTTTAAAAATTTTAAATATTAATCATCAAATTTAGGGTTTTATTTTGAAAGCTTGTTTTTGTCAAATAATAAATATAAAAAATTTTTTTACATATACACAAAAAACTGAATTTTATATGTAATTCTATAAATAGTAAAAAAAAATCCAGTAAATTATTGTAGGCCAGTGTATTTTCTATTTCTTGTGAATATTTTTTATCACTAGTAGGTTTGTTTGTTTTATTTTTAAATTGGCTTTTTCTTGGTTCTATTTTGTCAACTATTTGATCAATTTTTTGATTTATAATATAGAATTGATTTTTGTAAGTTTTATAGTGAAGTAAGGAACCAAGCAAGAGTCCAATTAATATTCCACAAAAAAGTTCAATATTGAAAGTAAGCATTTTTTTAAAAATGTTATTATGGATGTATATTTATTGATTATTTGTTTGTTTTTTAAATCAAAATAAAATTGTTTAATGGTGATTATTAAAAGGATTTGTTGTTTGAATTTTTTTACCTGAAAATTAAGTGAATTGGTAATGTTTTTATAATGTTCCAATACAAGGCAGGATTATTTACCTTGTTTCAATGTCAATGAGAGAAAAACAAAGATTTATAAAACATATCCTTGAATGTAGTAGAATTTGTTCAAAACTCAAACAATGTTTTTTTATTATCATTAATTATGTTTGCATAAAGGAGAATTTTCCTTGTAGTAATGGTCTGTAAAAAAAAATAAATCAATATTGTAATAATAAAATTATTTTCCTTCTAAGGATTTCTGCTTTCTTTTCTTAATGTTTATTATTTTTCTTCTTCATGGTAAATTTCATAAGTAATCTTTTCTTTTCTTAGATAAGCTTCCAGTGTCTGAGTATCATTTATTTTGAAAATATAAGAAGCAATTTTTTCACCTTGTTCTTTCTTCAGAATATTTCTAATGATGCTGTAATTTTTGGGTTCCATGATATATTAATTATTTTTATATAGGAGTAATTCTATATATCACTTAAGATAACAAATGGGATATTAATTATGATCACATTACAAATGACTAAATTTTGATCCCTGAATTCTTGGTAATATCAATGTTCACTTTGTCTGGTTTTGTTGCAGCATGCCCCATATTATGATTAATAACTGCCTAACAAAAAAAAGGAAAAATCTAGATATTTATATATTCATGTCTATATACTTTCTTGACTCGAATCTTTGCCAATATTTCTTCATGCTGAAGCTCTGAATGCACCAGTAAAATGTGAACTGAATTGAATCATCTAAAGTCAATATATAACATAATAATCAAAATCAACATCAAAACCAAACTGTTTAATTGATTATATGAGCTTTTGGCAATCAAGTGACAATAAAGAGAAAAAGACAATACAATAAAGACAGATAAACTCAAGGAACAGGGGATGAAATATGCAAATAAAATCGATCTTACCTGAATGTTATACCTAAAAATTTGGAAAAATAAAAATTGGATAAAATTTTCTTAAACAATAACATTGGATTAATTTGCAATATCAACCATTATTGAGCACTAAATATCAATTTATTGAAATAAATAATATGATTATACTGAATTTATTATTACCATATCCCAATGCTTTGACATTATGATAAGCGGCAGTAGTGTAGCACTAGATGGTTCCAGTTGAAAATTGGATTAATACAAATACAATCAGTCTTACCCATTTGAAGAGAATGTAATTTACTTTTCACCCTTTGTAAAACTTGACTTGAATTACCCGAAAACCACAACCTGTACATTAAATAAAGGTTGGTCTGCGGGTAAAAAATAGCTCGCATACATGTGTTTCAAACTTGGGCAAAAGATTTTGTTTGAAACTGTCATGATTTGTTGTTTTTATGCTTTGAATTGAATAGAGTTTTTAAATTTGATTCATTCAGAACCCTACTCATCAACCAACAATTCATATAATCACAAAAAAATTTGTCAACTTCAGGTTACATGCTAATTCCATCTGATATAAAGCACGATACAACACTGCTTGCCAAGTAATCTTTGCCATGTCTTGAACAGCTATTACGTATCAGATTTGGGAAGAGCCAATCTAATTAATTTATATCTTCATTATTATGGTATAATGTTGTGAATTTAAAGACAAATGCTCCTTTCGTGGTACCCCACTTCATAGGATTACGTATTAATATCATTTCTGTCACACGGACAAAAAATCCATATTTTTTTTTTTCACAAAATAAAAAATGTTTCTTACAAGATCGGAATATGATCGTGGTGTAAATACATTTTCGCCTGAAGGACGTTTATTTCAAGTAGAATATGCAATTGAAGCTATTAAAGTACATAAATATATTTAATTATTTAAATATATAAAAATTTCAATCGATTAATAATAATTATTATTAAATGTTTATTACTTGTATATCTAAAGTTGGGATCAACAGCCGTAGGTATCCAAACATCTCAAGGAGTAGTATTAGCAGTTGAAAAACGAGTTACTTCGCCATTATTGGTATCAAGTAGTATTGAGAAAATCATGGAAATTGATAGACATTTGGGTTGTGCCATGAGTGGCTTAACAGCTGATTCTAGAACAATGATTGATCATGCTAGAGTCGCTGCTCAAGTAAATATAAAATAGTATCAACATATATATATATATATATATATATATTAATTCTAGACATTAACAACTACTATTTAACAATCATAATAATTGTTTATTAGAGTCATACTTTTACTTATGCTGAAAAGATCAAAGTGGAATCGGTCACTCAGGCAGTATGCGATTTAGCACTGAGATTTGGTGAAAGTGCTCACGGAGAAGATTCAATAATGGTATGGAGGTTCATGAAAAAGATTAGTTAGATAATGATGTTATTAATTGAAAAAGTCATAAATAATAGTATAATTAATGATATAATTAATATAATCAATCAATTCCAATTTTATTTAAATTAGAGTCGACCATTTGGTGTTGCATTATTAATTGCAGGAATTGATGAGAAAGGTCCTCAATTGTGAGTACTGGCTGTTTACGATAATATCAACAACGATAATAATAGTAGTGTAGTAATTAATTAAAAAGAAAGAGTTGTGTGGAAACTTTGAACTAACTATTTTTTTAATTCATTATATGGGAAAAAAGATATCATGCAGATCCTTCTGGAACTTTTATGCAATATGATGCTAAAGCAATTGGATCTGGATCAGAAGGTGCACAAACTGAATTACAAGAAGAATATCACAAGGTTAATTTTTTAATTTTCATTGAGAGAAATAATAATAATAATAATAATAATAATAATAATAATAATAAGAATAATAATAACATTAATTGACTGATGATAATAATTAGTCGTTGACATTGGAAGAAGCTGAAACATTATCACTTAAAGTGTTGAAACAAGTGATGGAGGAAAAATTAAATAATACAAATGTAGAACTTGCATCTGTAACACCAGAACGTGGGTTTAGGATTTATAGTGAAGCAGAATTACAAATAGTAATTGAGAGATTATAGGTAATAAATAGTATTATTGAGAAGAAAAAGTGAAGAATGAAAAAAGTAAAAATTATTTATTTAATAAAGTAAATAAATTAAAAATTGTTAAAGGAGTTTACTATATATTGTTTTTGAACGATATCTCAAAATATTGGATATGGTTTCTAAGCCAAAATATTCTACATAAAGAGTTAGAAAATTGCTTTTTTCATGTTATGGCCCTTTTCTATTGTCCAAGCACTTTTCATGGACATTTTTCTATATTAACATCCCATTCAACGAATTTTAAATATAACTCATTGAAACAAGATTTTCATTGGATTAATTTATTTATATGCATTAGATCGTGTATATTGATCCGGATCAAATCAAAGCGAATCATTTATATCTTAGATATATTAAATGGTATATATTGATTCGTTCGAAGTCTTACGAACCTATATAGTCTGTTCCACGACTTCTGCGACCATTCTGCAACTTTCTTGTTCCAGTACGTTACGTAAGCTGGGTCTCTTGAAGCTGATACCCATCTCTGAGACAAGCTCACATTTTGTGAGAAGGAGTTGTTGCTGCTGTTAGGGGTCCGCTTTGCATTTTTTGGTTCATTCAATGGGTACTTTCTAAATGTTGCATACACGGATGTGAGAAGCGGATCCACACTTATATTCTCTCTTCTAGATTATCAGAGTTCTTTATTATTAATTATTACATGTCCTTGAGAGTTTGTATGATTACGTCAATTATATTGAAGGCGTGAGGTGTTTACGTGATTGTAACAAAGGAAATTAAGTTACAATTGACAGGCGATGAAAAATTGCTCTTCATACAAGATACACTTTGATGGCCTTCCTTAGGCTCCATTTGAAAAATAATTCTCTGATTCTGATTCTGATTCTGATTCTGATTCTGATTCTGATTCTGATTCTGATTCTGATTCTGATTCTGATTCTGATTCTTATGGTGATTATTATTATTATTATTATTATTATATGACGTTACGATGGTGATGATGGTATATCGTTTATTAAATCTAAAGAGATATTATAATCACCTACAAGTGATAGAATGGCTTCCTAATAGTAGTAGCAAGTAATTTACATTCTAAATAAGCAATTACGATGTTAATATGATGTCTTCTGTGATCGCATCTTGAACAGATCCAGCTTGCACAAATTCATCTACAATTATTACACTGCGATGATGTTTTGGCTCTTTATGAGCCCCCTCCACAAGAGCAAGGGCAATTTCTCTGGATGTTGATGAAACAATACACATCAAATGAAGATGGCGGTACCATGATTTTACATAGAAGTCAAGCAGATAATGGGGTAATTGAGTTCATCAAAAAGATGATTTTGGTAAAACAGCATGTGACGACAGGAGTGATAATGTATTATTATTCTTATTAGCTGTTAATAGAAAATTCATCTTTAATTAATGTCATATTGATTTTCTATTTGATCGAAGGCAATTTGGGTTTAAAAAATTTGTTCATTCCTCAAATGGATACACTTTTAATGTTAAACATTAAAATTCGAACCTTTTATTAAGAAAAAAAAATCAAAAAATATATTCTTTAATTATTTACCAAGTAAATTCATGAAATAAAATTTTTTTTATGATGATAAAGAAAGAAATTCGTAAAAAAAATTCCCCAAGGAAAAACTAGAATCTCGAATAATCAATAAATGAATCATATTGAGTTTTACCATTATCACCATCTACTTCATAATTGTTGTAATTATTAGTGTTAGCATTATTGATTTGGTTATTATTATTGTCCGTGTTATTATTATTATTATTATTATTTATGTCACGATCAGTTTTATCTTGGTTATTATTACCACCACTTTCATCATCATGGTTAGTATTATCAATACTCTCATTATTATGAGTGCTATTGTCATTGCTGTTGAAAGCCTTTTGTTTAGAAGGATTTGTATTAACGTGAGTTGGAAGTGTTAATAGAGGAAGTAGTGGAGGATTAATCGCAGTGTTAGGGATAGGAAGATTGTTCGAAGATGAAGAATATTGTTGACATAAATTATTTCGTCCATTAAATAAAGAAGAAAATTGATTACTATTATGATGATTATATATATTTGAAATAGTTTGTAAAGAACAAGAAGGAAATAGAGAGTTTTTGACAGTATCATCATCGCTGTTATCAGAGTTATCTTTAGAGATAGCAGAGGAATTTGTCGAATAATTTTGATTATTATTATTATTTTGTTGTAAAATGTTGTGAAAAGGAAATTGATGTCGTGATAATAACTGGCTTGATATATTATTTAATGTGGTAGGATGATAAATTGTTGTAGTTGTAGTTGGAATATTGCGATGATGATGAAGATGATTCTGGTGGGAATGAGTGTTGGGATTATTAATTAATTGTTGAAAATGATTTGACACCCATGCATTATAGAGTAAAGGCGCCAGTGTAGAAAGCTTTACATTATTGTTGATTGTCATGTGGTTTACGACATTTACTCCTCCAACATTACCAGCATTGTTTAAGCTTGAAGTTGTGGAAACCAAATATTCGCTATTTCTATTGCTATTGCTATTGTTATTACTAATATTATTGGCGGAAATAGTAGAAATGAATTCATTTTTATTGTTACAATCAAAATTTCTATCACCAAATTCATTTTCATGATTATTATGATTCCATAAATATGGCGTAATTGTATGATTATTATTATTGCTACTGTTGCTGATTATATGACTCTGAAGGTGATGATGTGGATGATAAAAAATGGACTCATTGTTATTAGGTTGATAATCATTTACATTACCATTATTATTGTCACTATCATTATCATTATCATTTACATTACTATTAACATTAGAGTTAATATTACTATTAATATTTATATTACTGTTGTTAGTATTATTGTTGTTATTGTTGTTATCAATAGCATCACTATTATCACTAATGGTAGCGTTAATGTTGATAAAATTACGTCGTTTTTTGCTAATAACTTTTTTACGAGCAGAGTTTCTAATAATTTTAGGCATTTTTTCACTTTTAATAATATCTTCGCTTGGTTGAATATAACGTAACTCTTCGAATGCTTTTGGTGGCAATAATGATTCTTCGCGACCTAAATAAATGTGTGTGTGTGTAAATAAGTAGTATAGATAAATATTTGCAAAAATTTTATTTAGCAAGAAAAATGAAAAAAATAACCTCGATTATCTTCATAAATAATCATATGTTGATAAGATCCATTGAATTTTATCGAAATAGTTTTTTTTAGTAGACCGTTATTTCTTAGTATAAAAGTTCCTTTGCTACATTGATGAACTTTTAGACCTTCAGCTTCGATACGAGCTTGTAAAACTTCATCGATTGGTTCGTGTCTTTTAATATTCCTATCACGTGTTGATAATTCTCGATACACCAAGAAATCTTTTATAATACGACTTGGTGACCATAATCTAAATTTACAAATTGACGGACGAATTAACTAAATTATAATCATTTCCAAAAAAAAATAGTAATAATTTACCTTCCATCTGTCCATCTTTTAATCCCGGATTCTTTCTCGTCAAAAACATAACTATGCGCGAATTTCAAATTAACATCATTTTCATTATTAATATTGACAACATTATTTATTACATGCAATACTTACACTTTCCCACCACATAACTCTTCTTTTTCTTTTTCTAATAAACGACGAGCAGTTCTTTGAATAACTCCTTGATGACATGCTTCTATTAATATTTACATAATTATTAGAGAATATTATATCATCAGCATCAAAAACATTTATTATCTCAGTAACAAAGACAATATTACCAAAGATTATTAACGCATCGTTAATAGTTTTGATTCTTCCTAATGTTAATAATAAAAAACATCATCATTATATATAAATAGAATAGAATAATAAGGTTTATAATTGTATATAATTTTTTAAAGTTTTCTTACCGTTAAAAGTTTCCATTTTTTCTAACTATTTTTTACTATTTAGTTTAATAATAAACTTTTTCTCAAAATTTAAAAACTAGAAAAAAATTTAATTTCTTATAGTCTGTTTTTTTTTTCTCAGCTCTTTTTAAATTAAATTTTGTCATATTAATAATAAGATCAGATATTAATTTGAAAATTTAATCTCAAATATTATTATCGCAAAAAAAAAGAAATATATTGCGTAAATACAAATACAAATAATCATCATAATTGATGTAGTATTTTTAAATATGATATTTTACTATGAGGTAAAGCTTTATTAATCGTGAGTTATCTCTGGTAATAATAATTATGATTGTAGCAAAGACATTTTCGTTATCTTGTCATCATTTTTATAATTTATTTGACTAGCGAAAATAAAATATCATTATTTTTCATTAAATCAAACTTTTGATACGTGTTGCTATCTATCTATCTATCTATCCAATATAATACGGTAATTAATTTTTATCATGATGTAATGTGTGTAAAATCCATAACCTCCCACTACACAATAACTTATAATTGCATAATTTATAATAGTAAATTAATCAAATTCACATCAAGAGAATTAATTATTGATAAAAATAAAATGATTAATTATCACCAAGATTTAATCGCGTATTCACGTGATTTTAGCAAATTATCAGAAAGATTAAAATTTTGAACCAAAAATTTTACTAACGAATACTAACGGATGCTCATTTTAATTTATCATTTTTAATAATGCAAATTTCGTAGATAATCGATCATAGATTCTGTATCCAAACATCTTGAACATATTCATTGTTTCGTCAGCCCGAAAGTCGGGTCAAAGCACGGGTCCCGATTTGATGCAGACATAATGACCAGGTAATTTGGTCATAAATTTTATGACCCGATGACATGAACTTGGGTCACTTTGACCATAATTGAAATTTTATCTTCTTGCGCATCTTTTTCATATATCTGCCTTCAATATAATTATAATTACCATTTATTATTTTATCAATTTCCGATTTGAATGTTTTTTAATCAATATTAATATTACCATTTTAGGCGATTTACGTTTAGCAAA